TGTTCTTCTGGTAGTGTTTGGATAATATGATTTTAACACATGCTAATAAAAGCCAAGAAAAATCATAGCAACTTCTAAAAAGGAGTCTGTTTTCCAAATGTCTGGAGCATTAGGAAACCGTAGGAGATGGTGTGGAGCAGCTTTTGGAACCTGTGATCCATGTGAAGGGCTGGGAGCCCCTTTGCTTTTCAGGGTGGAAGCCAGTACCTCAGGCAGTTGTGCTCCCAGAGGCATCTGCCGAAGTCTGGAGACCCCACTCTTCCTGGCCTCCTGATGGTCAGCAGACCCTTTATAGGTGGCCACTCCCAACCAGCATGACACCGTTACCACCAGTGTTGGGTCCTCCACTGCCACCACCTGCTGGACACAGACCCGAAGTTTGGCAGTTCACAGCTGCATGGTGCCCAGCAGCCACCAGCCCTCTACAAAGGCACACAGGTGCCCTTCACTTAATTGTGTATCACCATTTCCCATTTCTGAGATGCAGATGGCACTCCCAACTCCAGGCCTCACTGGAAGAAGGCTAAAGACACCTGCTGCAGAGCATGGGGTAGGAGGACAGTGCAGTGGCTATGGAGGAGGGAGTCCTAGTGGAGCGGAACTCTGTGGGAACCCAAGGAGAGACTAGAAGAAAGGCCAAGCAGGTCCCCCTTTTTCATAATTGCAATGGGACACTGGAATTGAGGGCTAGAAAGGAAGAGAGGAAAGGGACATCCACCCCAGGTCCTGATGGAAGGCTAACAGAAAGGGTTCCAAACACCTTGTGACCTGGAATAGGGACTGGTGCTATCCCAACCTGCCCCTTGCACTGATCTTCCCTGATTACTGAGCAGGGAGGCACATGTGTCCTGCATAAGGGAAGTTTCTGTCCAGTACCTGGCCCCAGGGAAAGCTGTGGTAGCCCTCCAAGGGCCACAGAGTCAACTACTGAACCTTCTCTGCAGGTCCTGGCATTGGTTTTTGCCAGGCCACCAGCTCTCTCCCTGGGGGGTGGGCCAGAGCCCATCCTTAAGAGTTGAGTCCACCTCCTAGACTTAATGGGGCTAGGCCTGCCCTCCTCCCATCAAGCACTTGCATCTAGGGGATGAAGCCCAAAGCAGCCTATGGCAGGAAATCAGGACCAACCAGGGTCTTAACAAAGGAGTACTGTCCCCTTGAGAGTGGAATGGTCTTACAGCCACTCTCAGGAGCCCTTACCCTATCCCCCATTCCTTATGCACTCTTAGAATTCTAAAAGTCACTCCCTACAATGCTGAAGCCACAGCATCCCTAAGCCTCTGACAATGGGAGGAAGGGGCAGGTCACCACCTTTCCCACTCTGACCGTCTCACCTAGTACCTCTCCTGCTTTCCCCCGCCCAGCCCTGACCTTCTTGTCTGTTTTCTGGAGATGTTAAAGATCCCTCTCACTGACAAAAATGCTTCTCACCCTGAGTCTCAGTTCCCCACCTACTCTTCCCCGTCACTTGCTTTTCAGAGGCCCTGGTTGCTGCATCTCTCATGTCACCAGTGGTGGGAGATTCTTGACTTCCTGGCTTCTGGGGAGATCAGATAGCTATCAGCTCTGTGCACCTCCTCCTCCAGGTAACTCATTCAGAGCCACATTGACACCTGTGGTATGAAAGCCCGGATGTATGACTTTTGTACTCCAAGTCTTGCCAGCTCTGTCATGGGCACAGACTTGAGCCCATGTACAAAGGAAGAGCACAGCCCCATGGTGAGCAGTGTGCCCAGGGCTCTGGAACAGTAGATCCCACTTTTCTGACAGCTCTGCTGGACTTATTGTTTGATGCAGGGGCCAAGGACAGATGCTGGTTTGCACTGGGGGCTTGCACGTCTCCATTCAGAGGCAGCACAAGGTCATGGGAATGCAATGGCCTTCAACAGTAGGGTCCATCTCAGGCCGTAGTTCTTCAGGCCAGGCTTGTCCATTTCTCTCCAGAACCAGCACAGTTTCACACTAGGCTGACAGGAAATGTAATGTCCCTGTGAAGAGCTGTCTTCTGGGAGCCAACTGCCCATGTAAAGAACTTCTTTAAGTTGGAAGAGTGGACTCCTCTGGGGGAAACCAGCAAATGAGATTGCTGGCATTTTCCTCTTGGTTTTAAACAATACAGCCTTTTCCTCAGAAAAGACAGAGGATGCTGCACTTGGTGAACTTAAAATAGCCTGAGAACAAGCTGGTAAGAGGGAGTGGGAATATTTGCTGGAAAGCTAATAGTTACTTTTTACTAAAACCCTGCATCCTTCAAAGGAAGAACCTGGAGAGACAGCTAACCCAGGCAGTTCAGTAGAAGGCAACCTGGGGCCCCACTCAGAGCTCTAAAGTCTGAAATTAGGCTTTAGCCAAATCAGAAGCCAAAGAACTGGGGAGGGAGATATCAAGTAAACTGGGTGAACTCTGGTTCCACGTGTAACTTCCAAGTATTGCCGATGAATGTGCCCTGGCACATGGAGAACCTCAGTTGGGCAGATCAGGCAGCACTGAATGGCCATGCATGACTGGGACAGGAAGCAGGAGGCCCTGCCAAAAGCCAGTTGACACCTGACTCCACATGGGGAAGCTGCCTTTGTCAGACCCTGGCTTGTTGCACTACTTTAAGTCCATAGTTACCAGGTTGGGATCTAAAATGGTTTAACCATAAAGGAGGTTTACTCTTCCCATGTGGCTCAGTATCCTCTAAGATGACACCAGAGTACAATAACCGATGCCTATTTGTTTTTTAAAACCTGATGACAGGATGTGGGAGAATGTGTTCTATATACTGTTTAATAAGGAGAAAGTATATGCTATTTTTTATTTCCACAAAAGACAGGTAAACAAGGAAGCATCGGTGCTTATAAAAGCATGTTCCTATTCTGAGGTTCCTTCCAGGCAGGCTCCAGTGTACTGACATCTCATGGCCCTGTGGCCTTGCCCTTGGTCATATGCTCAGAAGAGCAGCACAGCATCTCAGTCCATGTCCTCAGGGATGCAAAGCACCTCCGTGGCGCGTGCTGCTCCTTTGGTTTCAGTGCCTGTGGGATGACAGATGTTCTGCAAGACTTGTGAAGCCAACCCTGCCCCACCCACCGTCTGTAAAGAAACAGGGAAAGGAATAGCTACCATATCACTGAGGACCAAGCTAGGTGTCAGGCTAAGAGGTCAGCAGAGGGGTCCCAATATGTCTTAGAATTAAAGAACTAGGAGAACGAGTAACATCTGTTGAGTACTTAAGATATGTCACCAGGTTAAGCTTTACATCCTGTCTCTGCAACATTTCTGTGGAGGTGTGCCCAGGGCTCTGGGACAGTAGATCCCACTTTTCTGACAGCTCTGCTGGGCTTATTGTTTGATGCAGGGGCCCAGGACAGATGCTGGTTTGCACTGGGGGCTTGCACGTCTCCATTCAGAGGCAACACAAGGTCATAGGAATGCAAAGGCCTTCAACAGTAGGGCCCAAAACCAAGTTATTGGTTTGGGGTTATAATGGGCATATCATTATCTCTCTATTTTCACAGATGAAGAAACTGAGGCCCAGAAAAGGTAAGTAATTTTCCAGAAGTTATTTAGCTGGTGAATAGTAGAGCCAGGATTCAAATACAGTATCATCGTGTCCTGAACCTTTGTCCCCTGCCCCCATGCTTTCTTAGCAGAAATGCTGGGTAAGTGAAGGCACATGCTCCTCCCCAGAATTGAGAAGATGAGACACATCAAAACAAATAGGCAGAGGAGCAGCATTCCAATCAGGTAGCTTCAAAGTGGTGGGCAGTTCCTTCTGGAACTATCCCCTTTGCTCAATATCACCTGGGGCCAAAGTGAGGTTTGACATCTCCCAATACTCTCCCCAGCACCCCAGTGAGTTCACCCTCCTCTCAGTTCTGAGTGACACCTCCATGCCTCCAGTCATCCCTCAGGTGGATGAAGATGTCCCATGACTGTGAACACATAGGAAATGCATCATAAGCCATCCCAGGCCAGGTCCTTGGGAAAGCTGGCCCCAATGGGGAATGACTGGAGTGTAACAGGTACTTGGATGTGGCTTGGGTCTTTGATCCACAACAGTCACACTTCCCTGCAGGTTCAGACTCCCTAGGCTCTAGGTGCACTCAGCCTGTTCCTCAATTGCCAGTGGGAATAGTCACCTCAGGGCAGTGGCAAGGACTCAACAAGGGCCAGTGCAGGTCAGCCCCTGTCCACCTTTCTGTTGTGGCTGGGTTTGAGACCTTGAAACCATGAGCATAACAAACATTTAGCCAAATACCTTGGGTTAAACCCAAACATTTGGACATACATAGGTTATTACACTTCAGATCTGCACGCAGCCTTCTCCAAGAATGACCTTCATGTCCTTTGGTTTTTCCCAGAGCATTCATGTGGATATTCCCAGCTCCTTCCACCTCACTGCAGGCTCAATGCAGATGTAACTTGGGCACAGGAATAGTCCTGGCCAATTCCTCCACTGGTGGCATGAGCTGTCACATGCACTCTGGACCCTGTGGGGTTCTCACCCAGATTTGGAGGTGGTGATGACTCAGGCTGCCTTTCCCAGAGGCTGAGTTCTCTTCATGGAGAAGATGACCTGGAGCTCGTGCCACCGTGGGCTCTAGGAAGAGGGCCCTCCCCTGCAGCCCTTGCTTCTCAGCCCACTAGGGGATTCAGGAAGGGGGAGGCAGAGCACAGGGGACATGCAGGAGCAACACCGGTTTTTGTAGGAGATTTCACTAAGTTGCTAAGACCTTCCCAGTGGTTTTCACAGAGAAATACAAAATGCCTTTATAGTGAAAATAGGATTCCAAGATAAACTAAAGATGTAGTGAGGTACAGAAAGGCATTATTGTTTCTCTATGAAAATATAAGACAGTTTAATATTCATATCCAAGTTACCTGATGACCCATATTTTCAGAACAGAATTTTTTTGAATTACCAAATGATTACCAGTCCCACACACACCCAAGCACTTAGTCACAAACTCCTATTCACCGAGGTTGGTCTCCCACAGACTGCCTTGGTGACTTACCCTGAGGGGCCTCCACATCTTCATCTGAAAACTTGACACTGGGGAAGAGTAATGCCAGCTCTCTGCTGGCATCTTCTCGGTCTCGGCTCCCATGGACAGCGTTGAAGGGCATCTCTGTGCCATACAGAGCCCGGAGACTGGGGACATTGGTAAAAAGTGAAAGAAACAATTGTTTCATTTGAAAAGAAATGTCTTGCTTCCTGGCAACATGATTTCCAGATACAAATCAGCACTCTGCATTTCTGTGAAATTGCTTTCTTTGTAGAGATACCAAGAACAATAGCGAAGACAGCAGTAGGCAACATTCATTTGGTCCTGGCAGTGGTCTGGACCCCCAGCTGGATGTTTTACATGCAGAATCTCCTGCAGTTCACCAAAGCCCTCAGAGGGGAAACCCTGGTATTTCCATTTTAGACAGGTGTAATTGTGTAAGCACTGAGCTGCCATGTTGTCAATATTACTACCATGCACTTGATACAACTATTTAGCTGGGACTTCCTGTGTGTCGAGCAGTGTTCTAAATGCCTCTGTCCTCCAGTGATGGTTATTTTACTTATATCCTCATTTTATAGATGAGAGAACTGAGGCTCAGAAGGACTTTTTTTAGTGACACCCCAGGCTTTCTCACTAGCCCAGCTGCCTTTATATGAATGCTCTCAGCCCCTTATAACTGTAAGTCCGACTGCAGCTCCTTGGCTTCTTGCTAAGCTCCTTTCTGTTGTCTGGTCCTCTCAGCTTCAAAGGCTAAGACATGCAGATTTGGCATTGGTGACACACAGGGCCAAGGAGAAAGCCAAGTCAACCCAGAGCAGTGTGCGGGCAGGGTACTCCAGATTTCAGGGCCTTGGGACACCCTGGGTGGAAGGGGTTGTGTCTATAATGCAGTTTCTCAGGCAACACGGCAGTGTCTCTGGCTTGACAGGCTTGAATGGGGCCCCAAAATCTGTATTCTGGAAGCACTTGGTGGGACCCTCTGGCTGAAGAGAGAATGGTGACCAAGGACCATTGGACCAATCTAGCAGCAACCTTTAGAAGAGGGTAGAGGAGGGGAGGAGGCAGCTCACAGTAGTGCTCAGCAAAGACTGGGCACTGGATCAGAAGGGGATGGCGTCGGGGTCCCCCTAAATTTATAACAATGATGAGGTCTCCTGGTCAACAGAGAGCTTCGTTACCCACAATTCTGCACCGAACACCAAGTGGGGTAGAGGTTTTGAGATGGACGGAAGGACCACAGCTGCTGACATCACCTTTCAGGCTGCTCTCTCCTGGCCACACAGGGGTCACAGGGCCCCATTAGGGTTCGCCAGGCAGTAATCACATCCTCGCTGTCCTTGGTCCTGGTGAGGATAAGGAGATGGCTTGGTCCACTGCACATGTGATGTACCAGCTTTTCAAATGCCTCCTGGGCATAGGGAAGGAAAACTGTTGACATGGGGAAGGGTATACTGGGGCCTGAAGAGGGTCAGCGAATCCATCCTACCCACAGGGAGTCAGTGAGCACCCTTGCTGGTGTGTGCCTGTGGACACTTAGCCATTTCCTGGCCACCTCTGCCTGCTGTGGGGAAGATGGTGGTAGTGACCCCCCACCCCCAGAGAACCCAGAAAGGTGAGCCTTGAAGACCAGATATATGGAAATTGTGTTGATGCTGCAAATCCAAGGGGTGAGATATAGCTAAGTGTTTTGTTGTTCTGAGATGCTTCTCAACCTTCTTCCTTCTTCAAGTACAAAGGCTCTGGCTCCTCTTTGGGGAACAGCTCTTCTCCATTTCATTTGGTCCTACTTTGACAACCATGATGCTTAGCACCCCCAACACAACTCTAACCTGAGAGGTAGGGGCTGTGACCTCTGCTAGGTCAACTAGACTCCCAAGGAGGTGAGTCTGAAGTAAAAGCAAATGGAAAGCAGCTGAATCTGGGTTGTGAGGCTTTGGCTTCTGAGCTCCCTTCATTCCTTTTCTCTCCAAGCACTTCGTTCAATTTTTTTTGTTAATTCTATGAGCTACAGAGTACCCATCTAGTAAATTCTTTATTTTGTTACTTAGTGTCAAAATCTTTTTCTTGAACTGATAGAAGCTATAACTGTGATTCTGAGTGCAAATTCATGACCCACTTGCTATTCATATCCTTGTCCTTCATAATGTTCTATCATCTCTCAAACTACTGTTAATCTATAGGCATAATGTTGGAGGAGGAGAACGTGGTAAGCATATGGGAGCAGATGAGCTGACCTCTCCAGCTCTGTGTTGGTAGAAAAGACGCATTTCTGCCTCAGTCATGGTTCTCTCTTCATTTGTTAGAATGTCAAACCCAGCTTCTTGGATCTATAGAACATATATAAGTATTCTGAAAGGGTAAATCAAATCCAAATGTGCATTTAAATTAGTTGAAATTTAAAAAATAAAGATAAGCAACAGTGAGGACCCTCATTCCCCCAGCATCTGTCCCAATCAGATTTGAGTTCCAACCCTATGGAATCCTCCTTTCCTCAGCAGGAATCCACTGCCTGCTACCCCATCCCTACTTATCCAACAGAGAAGAACTGAGGTAATGGTAAGTGTTTCTCCTTTACCTTCATAATAATCTCATCAGTCTTTCCATGGACCACTGCATCTGGCTTAATGATTGCCAAGGTACAGGTCTTCTCTGATGATACTGAAATAAGCCAGGGGATGTGCAGTCAGATTTTGGTGTTTGAGGCACTAAGAGGCCACTTGAGGGGACAGTACAGCCTCTACACAGGTTCCATTGCAAACCATGTTCCAGGCCAAGGCTTGAGCTCCTGGTTCTCTCCCCTGGCCTCTTTGCTTACCCTGCAGACCCCGACTCTAGTGGATGCACCCACCTAATTCAACTTCAGCTGGGCTGTGGGGGACAGTACTTGGTCCCTGGATCAGGGGACACACAGGTAAGAGGATTGCTGATAAATTAGGAACAGGAAGACAGAAACAACTCAATGAGTAGGACTGGGAACAGAGTTGCACAGAGGGTGCTAGAGCAGAGACAACACGGGCCCAGGAATCCTCACCCCTTCCCATTAGCTCCTAAAGACTCTGAGCCTCTAACTACTATCTGCCGTGTTCCCTGCTCTGCTGGCTCCTTGTCTCTGCCTCTTTGAACCTTTCCTGCCATGTGGTAAGTATGGCTGCCCCAAGTCCTGAATCAGCATGACTTTCCAGCTCCAGCACATGCTACCAAACTGCAGCTTCAGTCCTCTCCCAGTTCAAGTTTTCCTGAGAGAAGCCAGTGCTCTACCAGTGAACTCATCTTCTTGACCCAAGGCACCACCCAGAGCCCACTGGCTAGTCCACGGGTTGGCTGCCCTTCAGTCAGTGCCCAACCGTCCAATCAGATGTAGCAATGAGAAGAAAAGAGTCCACTACTTAGGCCAGGTTCTGGAAAGGTCTGTAAGGAAACCAAAGTCTGTCCACAAGCCCATCTCCATCACACTCCTGCTTCTGTGGCCTTGGTGTATTACCTGCTCTCCCCACAGGATCAGCATACCCCTCTCATCGATTTTCTGTTTCTCAACCTTTATACTGATTATGTTGCAGTGAAACAAAACAATATCTACATATAAGGAGGACCTTTGGCTCTGAAAATCTGAATAAGGTGCTGAAAATACATGTGCTATGGTTTGGGTAAGTGAAGTCTGAGTCCTAGTCTATGACACTATTGGTTGATGGTGGAACCTGTATGAGGGGTCCTGGTGGGGCCCTTGAAGGATGCGCCCCTCTCCTCCCATGCTGTGCTCTTACCACAGGCCCACAAGTAGCAGGCCCAATCAGTCATGGACTGAAACCTCCCAAGCTGTGAGCAAAATAAATATTTCACCTTTATAAATCGATTATTTCAGGTATTTGTTACAGTGACAGAAACCCAACAGTATAAATCATTTTAAGCAATCAAACCTGTCAATTTTCCCGGGATTACCAACATGCTATGAGCACTTAGTCTTTTCTAATAAATTTCGTTATACATTGGCTGATTCACAAGACCACCTGGAGGGTAGAGTGAGAAGAGGCCTAAGCAGGGCCTTGGAGAACTCTAGCTGGAATGAAACTCAATGAAGGAGATGCTGAGGAGGGGCCAGGGATGTGAAGGAAGAGAAGAGTCATGATACCTTAGTGCCCAGAAGAGAGGACAGTTTCTAGAAGAAGACACTATGAATATCATCCTGCTCTGCAGGGAGATCCCACAGAATATGGACCTGGCACCAAGGAGGCCCAATGCCCCCTGTGGGCACCCTTTCAGGAAGCAATGGGTACACCCAGAATGCAGCAGGTCCAGCATGAGTGGAGGGTGAGGGGTGGCCACAAGAGTATGGACAAAGTTCAGGAAGCTTGGCTATGAAGGAGGCGGCTCAGGACAAGGACAAGGTTTTTGTGTGGTTTTCCAGGTTGGAGAGACTTGGGAGGAAATCATGGAGGAAGAAAGAAAGAGGAGATAATGCAAAAAGGAGGCAAAGAATGTTTCCTGCAGAGTCAAATGGCTGATTTTCTTTTTGCACTTGATGTTTTTTTTTGCTTTCCTAAGCCACAACTCCAAATAGCTTTATTTAACAAACAAAAAAAAAAACACTTAAAAACAGTCTCTTTACTTTGTGCAATAATTTAAAAACCTGCTTTTGTGTACAACCAGAGATATGAAAAATCGTGCTCTATTTGTATAATATGAATTGTAATGCATTCTGCTGTCATATATAACAAATTAGAATAAAACATTAAAAAAAAAAAACCCTGCATTTGTCATCAGCTCAGTTACTGAACTTGATCCTGGTTCCCCTGGCATCTTAGTTGCCACCAAGAGACGCCTTCCCAGCACTAACCTGACTCCCAGCTGTCTTCACTGGCCAGCCAAGTTGCCCATGAGTGAAAATGAGTTGATGCTTCAGCAGTAAGGGAAGAAGAGTGCAGAGCTGGGGGGAGGGAAGGTTTTCTGATGTTTGAGAAAGAGATGATAATAGAAACTCGAACTTTCCAGATCAGCCAACGACCAAGGAAACACCAGCATTATTGCTTTGCATGACCAATTCTTCTACCCTCCATGTAACACTTAACAGAGGCCTGGTGATTGCCACGAAATCCATGCTTGTTATATTTGAATCATGATCCGAAAGCTGTGAAATGTAGCCAAGATGCTTTTATAGGGCAGAAGGGAGATTTGACCACAGAACATTTGAACTCAGGTGACTGGAGACATTTCATGGTCAATATTGCCAGAGTCCAGATAGCTCAATGACCTGATTACTCACATCAGATCTGAACCTCCTTTGCCTTTGGCCTTGCTCATTGGTTCTGCACTCACCCACATCCTCATCTTCTCCAACGTTTTTTTCATGGAGAAAATATTCGTCTTCATCAGAAAGAGCCTCATCTTTAATCTAGTACAAATTGGTCAGGAACAGAAAATAGTTAGCCAATTTAAATTACCCCTAAGACCTTCAAAACCCTATAGAAATGACAACAAAAAATAAAGCTACAAGAGGTGGAACAAGTGGCAAAGGCAAGGTGATGAAAGTCCTGGAGACTTACAAGATCCTTTTTAGTAGCAGGGTGAAGGGTCACAGGGAGGACCAAGAAATTCATGCTGATCTTAAATGTTAGAGTCTGCCTCTTTTCACAAGCATTAAGTAGAGACTAAGGAAAAATAGAAAGTTGGCAAGAGAAAGAATTAAACTGTAAGTAAATGTTAAGTGATAGGCTAAACAGGGCAGAGAAGTAAAGGGAGAGATCATTGTTCCCCAGAAGAGGCATATAAGAATGGAAGCATTTGCAGATTTCTTTCTTGAAGAAAACTGGTTTGGGGAAAAATATGATTCAATGCTAATTCATTCCATTAAAAAAGAGCTTTGCTATTTGGAATTGAATAAGAAAACTTGAGTAGTTTAGCAGATTACAAAAGTACCTGGAAATACTCTCTGTGTGTTGGTTTTCAAAAGCAGACAATTATTTGTGAAGAATGTGTAGTCTGTGTTATTGTGGAAGTAATCAAAATCACAAGGTAGGCTGATCCTGTTTTTATAGTAATGACAGAGCTTGGTTTCTAAATTAAGGGGATTACAAATAAAACCTTCAGGTCACCCAGAGAGACTTTACCCCAAGGCTGAGTGGGAGACTCTTCCTTGTTATCATTTGGATAGGTGTCTCCCAGAGGCCCAGGTGTTGAAGGCTTGGTCCTCAGCTTGGTGCTACTGGAAGGTAGTGGAATCTATAAGAGGAGGGGCCTAGTGGGAGGTCTTAGATCATTGGAAGGGAATTGTGAGACAACATGGTCTCTTCTCTGCCTTCGTGAGGGAAAGTTTCCTCCATTGCATGTTTCCATCATGAAGTGCTGCCTAACCACGGGTCCAAAAGCAACATGTCCTACTGATTATGGACTGAAGCCAGCCCCTAAAACTGTGAGCCAAAATAAACCTTTCCACTTTTTAAGTTGATTATTTCAAGTATCTTGTTATAGTAACAGAAATCTGACTAACATACCACTACTCAATTCTGTAAATTTATTTTCCTTTCTGAACTAATGGTTAAAAATTGAAGTGGAGGGTGAAAGAAAAATGAATAAAAGAAATTAAAGGGTCCTGGTTGAAGGGGACAGCTTTTAAAAGGCTTCAAAATGCAGATATATCACAGCATTGTGCACTCTCAGTGAGGAACAGATCCAATGTGGGACATTCATGAAACTTTCCTCTCATAGCTCCAAGAAAATCAGGTGAAGGTGGGAGTGGGGAGACTGCTGGCTTCCCCATACAAGCAGACATAAGTTTGTTGTTTGTGGAAGTGACCTCTACTTACCACTTTCCGTTCTCTGCCTTCAGCTAGCACCTTCTTTTCAGCCTCCAGTTGGTCGAGGATGGTCTTCTCCAGCAGTGGAGCATTTGCTCCCCTGACCACAGCCACCAGTTCTCCTCCCTATAATAAACCGCACACCTCATGAGAGCCTCTTCACACGTTAATCTCTTTTAACATTGGGAGTGTTTAAGAGTATGCCCGGGTCAAAGTCCATTGACCCCAGGCCCACAGCCTCTACCACCCATTTCCAACATGGGATATTCACTTCTTCTGCCGCCTTCTGGGGCCCTTCCCAGTAAAGTCAAGTCTGCTTTAGATCTGCTTTAGTTCCTCAGGTCTGCTCTTAGTTCTAAAATAATCTCTCACTGTGATCTCTACCTTCCACATTGTACCCCTCCTTTCAAAGCTTCCTTCAGGGCAACTGGTAGTTAGTTAAAGGAGGAACAGTACACAAAAATATTTATTGAGCACTTACTATGCCAAGCACCCAGGCAGAGACACACACCCTGCCCCAGAGGGGCACTAAACTTGAATAGGCACTAAACTTGAAAAGATATAGTCACTGAATGAATGAAGGATGGAGTAATCATTCCAAATAGACAATTAGGCTATGATAAGATAATCACTTTAATAGGAGAACTTATAAGGTGTTTGGAACTTGGGGTAAGAATTCCCAACACTGGCTGGGGTAGTCAGGGAAGACTTCACAGTGGAGGTGTGTTTAGGGTGAGCCTGAATTCTCTGTTTCACTTTACAAGAGTCTCTATATGCATTACCCAAAAGGAGTGAATCTGGAGAGAGGGAAGGCCATGTAAAGCGAGCTCCCTTACACTTCCAGCCATCCTGTAGTGGCCCATAATAGAGTTGGAGATTGAGGCTTGTGTTCCCACCCAGCCAGGAAAGGTTTTTATGCTTTCATCACCAGGGACTTACACAGCCAAACCATTGTGAAAATGATCCCCTTCCTGCACTTGAGCTCCGTCTGGTGTGGCCACAGACACTCATCTCTGATCTTCCCACTAATCCCTCCCTTCCCCCAATCTCAGTTCATGGTATAACTTGAGTCTCTACTGAAAACTGAAGCTCAAATGTTTCATTATGTTTCCCAACTTGTAAGACTTGCAAGGCTGTAACAAGCCCAGGAGGCCTACGTTTTCCAAACTAACAACCCTGGCCTGGCTCTCAGGAGCCCTGGGAGAGAAGATCCCACTTTCTCTTAATACAATGAGGGGCTGGACTGGGTTGGAAATAGCATGTTATTCCATTTCCTTCAGGTATAGCAGTTGGCCTCAGCCTGGGAAGCCAGATCTGACATTGGGCCTAAGGGGCATGGAGTGGGGCCATGGATGTCATACTCAGAGACATCCACATTAGCTTGTCAGAACACGGTGCCATATAGCTTTCCTCAATAGTCTCTCATGTTTCTTCACATTTTATGATTGAAAAGATGAATGTGGAGCTTGTCTGCCCCATAAGGAAGTATTCATTTTTGCTAAAATTTCCTCTTTATGAACAGAGGATAGAAATCTTCAAACCCTGTGCTCTGAGAGTGAATCCATAGTCTAAAGTGTACAGGAGCCAAGAAGGAGCACGGGTATTTGAGTGACTCATTCTTTCCCAAGTATGGCCAGTCAGGATGGCTGCCCCAGACAACTGTGACCACCAGAGAACTGTGTCCTCTCTCTCCTGGGGAGTAGGGATGGCCTGAAGGCCACTGTCCTAAACAGGGTCAGGATGGTGTGTGTCATCAGGTCTGAGGGAATTAATGACATTGAGTTGCATCTATTTGAAAGCTAATGATCTGTAACCATCAAATAGTTCTTATTCTACAGATGTACTTACTGCATAAAACAGAAAGGTTGGCTCACACTTCCCTCGGTATTTTTCGAGGACATCAAGACAATCTGCCTCTGCCTAAAGAAGACAAACTGTCAGCAGGCATCCACTGGACCTGGGCACAGGGCCCTGGGAACTCCATACCCCCATGACTAACCTCCCCAGGTGAAGCCCAACTTGCTCTCCTGCTGCTCACTCTAATCCCAACTGTCCTGTCAACATACTGGTAATTGTGAAAAGTGTACTTCCTTAAAGAGTCTAATGAGGAGGAAAAAGACTTTCTCTTTCTCTCACCCAGCTTCTCCACCAGTCCAAGAAAACTCCACCATCTGGTGTCCTTCTGCAGCCATGACTGGCAACAGCAGACATGAAAAATCCTCAGACATTGCCTTTGATGTCTGATGAACCCACTGTATGTAGACACCACAGATCCCCCAGGTGAGCCAATCAGCAACACCCTTCCTATAGAAGCACCAAGTCTGAGTCCCAAGGAGAGACTAAGTCCCAAGTGGAGAGTCCTGGAAATCCAACTTCTTGAGAGATCAGTGTATGTTATATTATCTCCTGTCTTCACTGTCTGTGAACCTTGAACCCATGCAGCATATGAACAGTGTCTCCTGCACACTTCTCTGAAATTTATTTCCATTTCCACACATGAAACAAAGTAAGCATTTGCTATAAGTTCCCCTTTATGAAACAGTGGTTGGAAATCTTGAAACATGGTACTCTGAAAGTGATGCTTCAATCAATAGTGTTCATGAGACCAGGAGTATATGCATAGGAGTGACATGGATTCCTTCCTTTCACACAGCATAAAGAGTCTGCCTGAGCCAAAAGGACTGTAGGGGGTGGAGGGGTAAGGATCTCTACATCTAGAGAAATTAGAAGGCATCATGACAATGTCAACAGTGTTTTATGACCTTTTATTTGGAGAGAATCTTACTAATGCAAAGTGCAGAAGGTCCAGGCCAACCTCAATCCTCATCTTCTGGAAGAGGCTTACCACAGGTTTGCAGGGGCCACACCAGCCTTGGTAGACATCAACAACTGTGAGGAGCCAAGAAGCAGGGTCAGCAGGCACCCTACCCTCCAGACAGGCACAGCCATTCCCATACATTCTAATGCCCTCAAGTCTCATCTGTTTGCAAGGATACTTAATGGTTAAAGGAGTTTTTTATTCCATCAGACTGTGAGCAGCATGTCCCTTGTTCTTATGAACTCAGTATTCTGAATTCAAAACATATTGAAGAAAGTATGGCAGAAAATAATTTTCTTACAGTGGCCTCTTTACCTTACAGATTTTTCAGGCTACATTCGGGGTCAAACCTGGCACAGGGTGACCCTCAATGATTATCTGAATTGGACTGAAACCATCTGTTCCAAAAGAGCCATGAAGGTTACTGTGGGTGACCAGTCAGCATATAATTGACTCACCTACTCGAGAGTAAACACAGTTTTAAACTTTTCCCTGATTGATAAAAGCCATTTGCTTTGAGTAAAAGAATTTAATTTATTTTATAAAATCAGTACTTTTCTCCTGCAAAGAGAACTTGTTGGAGAATGAGATGGGAACTTGGATTCCATTATGTTTTTTGATCCCGATCTATAGAGGGTATCATGGCTAGGCAGGCTCAACCAACTCCTATGTACCAGATATATGCAGGAACTGCCCAATCAAGAGGCAGCAGCAAGAGCTAGACTGTCACTTACTGGAGGCCACATTGTAGAGGAGTGTTTTCCAGGAGCCTCACCACTTAAGAGTTTGTGCCTAATCCACACAGGTGGGTATTTCCATTCAACAGCTACCATAACATAGTTATAGGCAAATAGTGTAAAAATTGCTCATAATTTATTAGGTCTACCAGCTTTAATAGCATGCAATTTTTAATTTTTTAATGCAGATTTATATTTCCATACTTTCACATCAAGTGAGTACGATTACTCTAACAAACTATCATGACTAAAATTAAGCATAGACTCTGGTGGCACAGCATTAACACCATTTTGTACTAGCCAGGGAAGGCAGCCTTCTGGGTGGAGGGCAGGTGTACTGGGCATTGCAGAAATGTTGGCCATGCATGGGCAGAGAAGTAAGCATGCTGCAAAGCCTGGGCAGCCAGGCACACACAGGGGGAATTCAGGGACCCTGGGCTGCCTGCCCAACCAGACCTGCCCAGGCCTGTGTGATGGGAAATGGTGGTGGGGCTCATTGGAGAAGTCTGAGATGTGGACTTGAAGACCTCCATCTGGATTTATGTGGCCATAAGGAAGGAATCACAGTAAGTTTCAGAGAGGAAAGGAACCTAACTTTTCTTGAGCCAAAGCAAGCATCTGTGCTTTGCTTTTTTCTCAAAAAGCCCACTGAGTTGAGAATCATCCCAAGATAGAGATGAAGAAACTAAAGTTCATAGAGGTGAAGCTGCTGGCCAAAGGTAAGAATTCCACACAGGGTGGTTTATAAACAACAGATAGCTGTTTCTCACAATTTTGGAATATAAGAAGGCAAAGACCAAGACTGGCAGTTTGGGTGAAAGCTGTTGTGTTCACATGTGTTGGAAGGTGAAGGACAGGAGAGACAAACTCCCTCCATCAAGTGCCAATCCCATTCTTGAGGGGAAGAGCCCTCGGGGATCCACCTCTTAATGCCACCATTTTGGCCATTAAGTTTCAACACTGGAGTTTTAGAGGAGACATAGTCAATCCCTAACCTAGCAGAACCAAATACTGCGCCTGGCTCTCTGAGGTCACAGGACGCGTTCTTTCAGCTGCTCCTGGAAAGGAAGAAGACACACCAGTTCAAGAGCAAGGGCTGGCTCAGCAGGCAGCAGCATTTTGCAGAATATGAGACCTAGGCTGGGTGGGAGGGGAGGCAGCCAGACAGGAGCTGCAGTGGGGTGAGAGGCCAAAGAGGTGGGGACCACAACCTCTGCAAAAGGAAGTGGAGATGTGGATGAACACCAAGGGGTGTGAAAGGGACTCCACCTCTGAGCCTGGCAGAAAAAGACCTGGGTGGAGTTGGAGAGAGAGTCGAAGGGATGGGGAATGTTGAACTAGTTCTAGTTGGGCTGGTTTTCTGGTGCTAACCAAGAGATTGCACAGGCAACCAGACACTCAGAAGGAGAGCAGGGGCAGAGAGGGGACTTTGGCCTCCTCAGTGTCCAGGTGGAGGGATCAGACGCTGGGCTTGAGAACAGGATTCACGATTGGCCAATGTTTGGATTTCAACACTCCATGGTGATGTGGGCGGAGGCAAGAAAGCATTTGAATCAAACTAGGAGGGCAGGTTCTACTGCAAAGAAAGACAGTGGGCCCGGATCAGCTTAAAATCCCCAGGCAGTATTTGCATCGACAGTTCACCTGCTGCTTCTAGTCCCCTCTCATTCTCCTTGGCTCTTGGCAGGAGCCATGGGAACAAACTCCACCAACTTAGGAGATAGTCAGGTGGGGCTTGAGGGACGCTGGAGAGGGCATTAAGAGGTTGACTCTGAAAGGCAGGAAGCAAAATGGAGAAGACCCCTGGAAGAAAGGGCAGAGATGATGAGAGTTCCTGAACCGTGTGACCTGACTAGACTCGCATGTTTGAAGGCAGGTGCAAAAGAGCCAGCACAGGAAGACTCCCAAGACCGTTGTTGACCTTGGAAGCAAGTTTCTGCTGGCTCCAGGGAGAACAAGCATCTATACTGTGTGTGTGTGTGTGTGTGTGTGTGTGTGTTATCATCTAGCTGCCTGATGATCAGGGGCCAGGAGGAGCCCGGCTGCCTACAAGGCCCTAGAGCATTAGAGCAGGCTTGGCAGAGTCAGTGTTTGGTATGGTGTTGGTGCTTAGCAAGGTAGCTGGCATGCAGGAAATTATCAGGAAATCACTGCTGCTGAAGAAACAAGCAGTGGTTGTCACACCTTGGAGTTGGGTTCCAGTTGCCCAGACAGGATACAATAATTCATTCTTGGCACATTGAAAGGTTTTATATAATTCCACAAATCGGAGCGTGTGGCAGTACTCACACCCACACAAATGGATCAATGAAACCAGTATTTATTTAGCATCCACTTGGCCCAGGTCTGGGAAGGTGGGCTATAGATGAGAGAGCCAGCGCTATGGTGTTAAGAATCTAATGGCACCCACATGGATGGGGGTGAGGGGCTTGACAGAGTCCAGGGGCTCCTGAACCATACAAAGTTTCTGCAAAGATTTCACCCAGGGAGGCTACTTTGGAGCTGGGTCTGGGAAGGAGAAAGCTCTCAACAAGCTGAGATGAGTCATGATATGCCAGGGAGTAGGGACAAGAGTCCTCTTCCCCATGTAGAAGAGTCATCCAAATGGGGTGCAGAGACATGGTTAAGAATAGATAGAAGCAGACATGCAGAGAATAACAGAGCCCAGAGGTAATCTGGAGAAAGATATCTAGAGGAAGAGAAAGGAATAATGAGTGCGAGGGAGGTAGTAACCTCTAAGATGTCTCCAAAGATCAGCTTCTTGGTACTCCCTGGGCTAGACCTAGTGGATTTCTAGTGATCAGAAGAGGGCAGGAGGATATCCACTTTCAAGATTAGGTTAATAAGGACTAACTTCCATCACATGTGCTCCCAGAGCCCTGCTTTAAAGGAGCAAGTTGCCATGTCCTGAGCAGCCTCATGGAGAAACTGATAGCAAGAAATTGATGTCTCTGGCCAACAACTAGTGAGGATTTGAATCCTGCCAACAGCCACATGAGTGGACCTGGAAGTGGACCTTCTAAATTTGGCCAAAAGCTTAGAAGCCAATCTGCCCCAAATTGAGCTTTAAAACCTTCCAACAACTGCACTCCTGAGCCAGAGGCACCCAGCTAAGCTGCATCTGAATTTCTGACTCATAGAAACTGTGGGATAATAAATGTTTGTGGTTGTAAACCACTAGTTTTGAGCAGCAACAGATGACAGATACAAGAAGGATAAGAACAAGGAGGCCCCTGGGCAGTGGCTATGCTGCTTCCTAGTGATTACTGTGCTGTTCCTGGTTCCAGTGCCTTATGATGCCTGGCTCTTCCTCCTATCTGAGAGTTCCAAGAGATCCCCATTTTCCTTCTAATGCATTCTCCTTTTGTGCCTCAGGTAATTAGAAGAAGTTTCTGTAACTGAACACCAAACAACCCTGAGAATGACAATCAGCTCGAAAATAAGGAAACCCTGCTTTCTGACAGTACTGACTCATTTCCTGAACCAAATTTATGATGTTCAAGCCAGATATAAATACAATACCCATCTTTCTCCTCAGGGATTTGTTCTAAAACCCCTAGAGGATGCCTGATACTTCAAATAGTACCCAACATTTTATAAGCACTTCAATACCATGACAGTCTTTTGGATAACTAAGCAGGATACTTAAAAGACTAACGGGCAGGTAGCATATACAGTGTCGATTCACTGAACAAAATGATGATTCATGTCCCATCAACCCGTGGGATGTTTTAAGAGTCCATCATGCTATTCAGAATGGTGTGTGTTTTAAAATTTATGAAATGTTTATTTCTGGAATTTTCCATTTAATGTTTCTGAATTGTGGTTGGCTGCAGGTAACTGAAACTAGAAAGCAAAACCACAGACAAGGGGAGAACTACTGTACACACAGACACAAAGAAAGCACCTGGCTGTTTATGAGGCTCAAGGTTATAGGAAAAGGTTATTGCAGCCTTCTCTTTATGGCTCAACACCTCAATCAACATTCTTGAAAAAAATGGATCTGAAAAAATATATTTTATTTTGAATTACCAGTTAGTCCTTTGGAACTCAGCATTTCTTCCCAAAGCTCCTGGGTGCTGATGTTGACCTAAATTCAGAGAATCAAATGCTGTAACACCGACGGCACAAATGGGGAAACAATTTCATGAATTTTGTTTTTCTCCAAAATACTTAGAAATACATTCAAGTTTTTCTCTCTCCCCAATCTTCTTTAGTCCTTCCCTTTCTTCCTGTTTCTTTCCCCCAGGAAAAAAAAAACACTAAACTAAGAGTGATACATATTATTATTAGCATTTTAAAAAATGTTACATGTTATTTCTACAGAAACAGTATATACAATTTCTTAGTGTCTTTAAAATGTACATGAACAGTATAATACTATAGCTTTCCTTTTGCAATTTATATTTTCACTCAGTATCACAAATAATTAAGAGTTGAATTTATTACCATTCATTCACTTCTTTTTCTTTTATCTAAAAAGAGTTCTGGATTATATTAGACATGGAATTCAAGGAGAAGTGCATATTATCCCTCTTCATTAATAGTAGACATTTTTATAAAGTATACAGAATGTATTTTTACTTTGAAACAATTTTAAACTTACAGAAATTTTGCAAGTACATTATAAAGTATGTGTGAGGGTATACTTTGTTGATATTTGAAAGTAGATTGTTAGCCTGATATTCCATCACTCCCAAATACATTATCCTATATATCCACAATAAAATCATCAACGTCAGGGGGAAAAACACTGATATACTCTTACATTTAATCCTTACATGCCATTAAAGTTTTACCAATTGTCCCAATAATGTCCTAGATAGCAAAGGAAGTAATCAGAATCCCACACTAGTCAAATCTCTTAGCATCAATTCACCTAGAATAATTCTTAACTCTTTCTTTTATTTTCAAAATCTCAAAACTTTTAAAAACTATATGCCAATTGTTTTGTAAAATGGTGTGTCTAGTTCCTGCTGATTAGGTTCAGGTGGTACATCTTTAGATTAGTTGGAGTATTAGAGAAGCTGAAGAGAGTTCCTCTCCTTACATCCAATCAGGTGATACACAATTTCCATCTGCCGATTAATCACCGGAACAAGGTGCTACTCTCAGACTCCTGCTCTAAAAAAACCACTCTTTCCTCTTGTAATTAATAATTGGAATACCATGAAAATTACAAATTGTTTTTAATACAAGTATGCTAAAGTCTGTATTCCTATAAAAGGATAGGATACATTATCTGTAATAAGGGCAGGAATCATGTAACATCTGCAAGTCCTCTGTGAGAAGTCTCTTTTTTTAAGAAAGCATACTCCTGGGCTGGGGATGTGGCTCAAGCGGTAGCGCGCTCGCCTGGCATGCGTGCGGCCCGAGTTCGATCCTCAGCGCCACATACCAACAAAGATGTTGTGTCCGCCAAAAACTAAAAAAAAAAAAAAAGAAAAAAAAACATACTCCTAACTTTTTGTTCTATGACAAAAAAATCAGGATATAAAATTTCTTAGTGTCTTTAAAATGCACATGAACAATATCATACTGTAGGTTTCCTTAAAAGAGGTAAGAGCCTTAAACATCTGTCATCCTGGAGGCACAAATACAGTCCTGGGGCAAATGACAGGAGAGATCAGAAAAGCTCCCACTCCCGCCCAGAGGCTCAACTGTAAGTCACTGGCAAACTCTCTGTGGCCCTTCCTGTCATGGAATGAGCTACATCACCTCTGGGCCCAGGACTCTGGGTAGCTGAAGAATCTCACCCCTAGAAGAAGGGAAGGAGGAGAACAGAATAGAAACTATTTGAACTTCACTAAGCCCCACGTTTAGTAGAGAAATAATGGGAAATGTGTTAACACCTTTGAACAGATTGCCTCAAAATCCTATCATTTCTGATTCTTAGTCACAGAAGGAAACCCAGAGAGAGGACAGGGTTCCTAGGATGGCAGACCCTAGGCACTGCTCTCAAGAGGTTTACTTTATACGTAGGTGATACAGATTCCTTGGTGTGAGTGGGGAGGGGCTGCTGCTCCCCCTTCTCCTCAGCAAATGGTACTTAGAGCTCTGAGGAATACACATGAAAAAATAATATTGCTAACACATTACCCCCAATGGGGATATAGGACATAAACCTATGAGATGATAATCATACGGGCCAATAACATCAGAGAAACCACAGAAAGCATTCAGACCGATCTGGAAACTTCCAAAAGAATCTCATTACAACTCTGCAAGTTATGTATTCCTCCCCTCCCCATTTATATAAAGGATATGGGGCTCATATACGCTGAAAAAAAAATGATACACACAGAAAAAGTAGGAGGGCAGAATCTACTACAGACAGAAGATTCCCACCTTCAGAGTCCTAGAATAGCAAAGCCAGAAGACCCTTAGGGATATCACACACACACCCTCATCCCACAGATGGGCAAGCCATAGCCCAGAGAAGTTATGTAATATATTTTAAATCACAGAATTGACTTAGAGAAAATTTCAAGAACTATATCTGGCTTCTGCAGCCTAAACATGTATCTTTTTGGGGTTCAGCTGATTTATGAGACATTCTAAAGCTTGTTTTTAAATGTATCCATATTACAGATCATTCAATGATCTTATGACAAAGAACTCTCTCCCAATTCCAGGGCCCAGGCATGCATGTTTTTACCATAGCTGTAGAATCACCCTGTCCAGGACCAAGAAGAAAATAAGAGGTAACAAAAACTTACAGTTTCACTTGTCTTAAGTGCAAATGAAGTTAGGCACTCTGTATAACAAATGCTCATCACATAATACATCTCAAAGCATATTGTTAATAAGCGAAGAGAACAGTGATGGAGAAATCTGCACAAAGCACAGAGGTACAGAGCCATGCCCAAACTCAAAATCATCTATATCATATTCTCCATGCAAGTTGCAACTATGTTTCAGCAAAGAAGTTCAACTATCACCTGGGAATTATGCTGGGTAATCTTTCCTTAGTTTTGATTTGGGATAACGCATGTTCGGGTCCTTACGGTTGTATGTGCACTATAAGCAAAAAAGCTTTTGCCCAATTTTGTTTATATATATTTATGCATAAAAAGTTTGTCATCACGAGGGGTCCGAGATAATTTTTTTTTAACTTTAAGACATAAGGGTAGAAAATTCAAGTTCTGGAATACCGTTACATACTGCTAGCAAAGAGAACATAACTTTCATACTGCACCCTCCCCTTCTCTCCCCTCCACACCACACCACACCACCCTCCAACCCTAACCAAGTGCTGGAAGCTAGCGCCCCTGGAGGCTTACCTGCAAAGCAATTTCCTTCTTCTTGCTGCCCATGGTTCTGCAAAGAAGACGAAGCCCTGTTACTGTCTGGCAGCGGACTCCCTATAACCGCTGTGCCAATCAGCATGCGCAGAGCCTTCTTCACAAAGCCCCCCGCCCCCTTTTTAAGGTGCTTCCAAGTGGCAGCAAGTCAAGTCTCTGATAGCAAATGAACACCGCCTGAGGGTAGCGGAGCCTGCAGGCCACGGTGGGCGACCCGCCAGGAGGTTTTCTGGGGATCTGCGAAGCCCCTTCGCCACCCCGGATCCGGGCTCAGCTGGAGCAGCCCGTCACACACCAGAGGGCTGGGGTGGGGGGGGCGGTGATAGGGGGTGGGGAGGAGAGGATCCTGTTGTCCGCGCGGTTCCCCACGTACTACCGGGAAGCGGCCACTGCGAACGACCTCTCCACTGGTACTCAGTCCTCTACGCGTCGGGAGTCTCCAAACGACTCTGCTACTAACCCGCTACGGTCGTCCTGGCAACCCAGCACCCCGCCCAGCCGGCCCCAGAAGCCGCCGACACGTAAGCCACGCCTCCTGGGGCTTTGCGCAAACTCCTAGCCGCACTCCCGGTACGTGAGTGGCACGGGGGGAGTCCCGCCCCTTGAGGGCAGCGTTGGGCTCTACGAAGGCCCTCATTGGCTGGAGCTTACGTATGTCAGTGTCGGGCGGATTTGAGGCAAAGACCTGACCCTTGCGTGCGTCCTAGAATTGCATTGCTGGGTTCCTGCATCCTTCCTACCCGGCCTGAGCTGATGTGATGCTTTTCTTCCATTATGTACTTGCATAACGCGTCCCAGGCAGGATAGGTTTTTGAGGGAGTTTGAAAGGGTTCTCTTGAAGACAAAAAAATAAATAAAATAAAATAAAATTATGAATTTAAAATTAAGTATGAATGTCAAGTATAATAAATACAAATATAAAGCAGTTGCAAACAGGGTAATTATTAACCCAAGTAGTTCAATAAATAATCACTTTAAACGTGAACAGTCTAAATTACACCAATGAGGATATTGGGGATTTTTTAATATTTATTTTTTAGTTGTAGTTGGATACAATATCTTTATTTTCTTGATTTATTTTTATATGGTGCTGAGGATGGAACCCAGGGCCTCGCACGTGCTAGATGAATGCTCTACGGCTGAGCCACAATCCCAGCCCCGTAATTAGGATATTGTAAAAAGCAAACAATAAACAAGGCTGAATTGTGTGTTGTCTGTTAAAAAAAAAAAAAAGACAACCTCTTCATTTTTGTTGTTGTTCCAATGTTGTATTTTTGTCCCTATTTTTATCGGCGCATTATAATTGTACATAACAATGGATTTGTTGTTACATTTTCATACCTGCTCACAATATAACAATGTAATTTGGTCAGTATCATTCTCCTGTATTTCCCTTTTCCCCCTTTGCCTCCTCTTATTCCCTTTCCTGGACCACTCTAGTGATCTCCCTCCAATCTTCATGAGATTTACCCTCCTAACCTTTCTTTTCCTTTTTCTTCTTCAATGCATGAAAGAGAACACAAATTTTGATTTTCTGAGTTTGACTTATTTCATATAACATAATGTTCTCAATTTCCATCCATTTTTCCTGCAAGTGACATAATTTCATTTATCTTTATGGCTGAATAATACTCCATTGTGTATATCTACCACATTTTCTTTATCTATTCATCTATTAATAGATATCTTGACTGGTTTCATAGTATGACCACTGTGTATTGTGCTGCTATAAACATGAGCATGCATATATCAATATAGTATGCTGACTTTAATTCTTTAGGATAAATACCAACAAGTGAGATAGCTGGGTCATATGGTGGTTTCATTCCTCATCTTTTGAGGAACCTCCATACTGATTTCCACAGGGGTTGTAGTAACCAACAGTGTAGAGGTGTTCCTTTTTCTCCCCATTCTCTCCAGCATTTAGTATTTGTCTTCTCCATGGCTGCCATTTTAAACAGAGTGAGATGTAATCTTAGCATAGTTTTGATTTGCATTTCCTTAATTGCTAAAGATGTTGAACACTTATTCATATATATGCTGGCCATTTGTATTACTTCTCTGGAGAAGTATCTGTTTACTTTGTTTGCCCACTTATTAATTGGGTTACGTGTTATTTTTGTGTGTGTGATAAGTTTTTTGAATTCTTTATATATTCTGGATATTAATCCTCTGTCACAAGAGCAGTTAGCAAATATTTTCTCCCATTCTGTAGGTTCTTCACATTAGTGGGGTTTTTTTTTTTTCTGTGCAGAGGCTTTTTAATTTGACACCATTCCATTTATTAATTATTGATATCATTTCCTGAGCTTTAGGAGTTCTCCTAGGAATGTCAGTGCTTATGCCTATATGCTGGAGTGTTGACCCTACATTTTCTTCTAGGAGTTGCAGTTCTGGTCTGATTCCCAGGTCTTTGATCCATTTTGAGTTGATTTGTGCAGGGTAAGAGATAAGGATCTAATCTCATTCTTCTACATTTAGATAAGCCATTCTCCCAGCACGATTTGTTTGAAAGCCTCCAATGTATTATTTTGGCACCTTTGTCAAGGATTAGACGACAGTATCTGTGTGGGTTTGTCTGTGTGTCTTTTATTCTGTACCATTGGTCTGTTTTATCTGTTTTTTGCTGGTACCATGCAGTTTTTGTTACTATCACTCTGTAGTGAAGCCAGGTATTGTGATGCCCCCAGCATTGTTTTCTAACTTAGAATTGCTTTGACTATTCTGAGTCTTTCATTCTTCCAAATAAATTTTAGGACTGTTTTTTTTCTATTGCTGTGAAAAATGTTATTGGTATTGGTTGCATTAAATCTATCTATAGTTTTTTGGTAATGTGACCATTTTAAAATATTAATTCTGCCTATCCATGAACATAGGAAGTATTTCCATCTTCTGAAGTCTTGTTCAATTTTTCTTCAATGTTCTATAGTTTTCATTATAGAGGTCTTTCACCTCCTTGGTTAGATGTTACTGGGTAATTTTTTTAGGCCTCTGTTAATGTGATTATAGTCCTGATTTTTTTCTCAGCAGATTCATTATTGGTATATAGGAAAGCTGTTGATTTTTGTAGTTAATTTTATAAACTTGATTCCTTTCTGAATTTGTTTATTATCTTGAGCAGTCTTCTATTGGAGTATTTTGGATCTTCTAATTATAGGATCATATCATCTGCAAACAGTGATAATTTGACTCCTTCCTTTCCAATTTTTCTCTCTTTTATTTCTTTCTCTTGCCTAATTGCTCTGGATAGAATTTCTTCTAACCCTACCTTCCTTGGTGATTTTATCATGAACAGTTGCTGGAATTTTATCAAAGGCTTTCTTTGCATCTATTGAGATGCCTATGTGATTTTTAACCCTTAATTCTATTTATGTGGTAAATTACATGTATTGATTTGTGTAGGTTAAACCATCCTTCAATCCTGGAAGAAAATCATCTTGGTCAAAATGTGCAATCTCTGAATATGGTATTGGATATGATTTGCTATATTTTATTAAGATTTTTTTTCATCTAAGTTCAATAGGGACACTAGTGTGTAGTTTTTTTTTATTGATATATCCTTATTTAGTTTGGGTGAGAGTAGCTTCATAGAATGAATTTGGAAGTGTTCCATCCCCTTCTTTTCATGGAATAATTTGAGGAACTTTGGCATTAGTTCTTTTTTAAATGTCTGGTAGAATTCAGCTGAGAATCCCTCTGGTCCTAGACTTCTCTCTTTTTTTTTTTTTTGAAGGCTTTATTATTTATTATTTATTAATTTTTACTTATTTTCTTTATTGTTATATATTTATTTATTAATGGAAGGCATTATTGCCTCAATATCGTTGCTAATTATTGATCTGTTTAGATTTTCTGTGTCTTTTTTATTTAATTTTGGCAGGTTGTATGTGTCTAGAAATTTACCCATTTCTTCTAGGTTTTTAGTATAAGTTTTTAAAATAGACCTTAATGATCCTCTGGATTTCTCCTTGTTCATCTCTAGTTTTGTTTATTTGGGTATTCTCTCTTTATTTTAGTTAGTTTGGCTAAGGGTTTATCAACCTTGTTTATCTTTTCAAAGAACCACCTCTTTGTGTATTGTTCAATCTCTATGTATTTATATAGTTTCCTTAGGGGTTTTGTGTGTGTGTGTGTGTGTGT